AATACAATTTGTAGCAGGGTGGTATTCTTCTCTGTCTGGGAAATTCTCTATTTCCCTTTTATATTTACATACCATAATTATCTGTACAATAATCATTACATTTTGAAAGGTGAAAGGCGGTCCTTGGTGGTTTCTCTTGATAGCTTGCCACTTGGATAATCGTAATGATGAATTATGCTGAGTTGTCGCCGCCTTACCATGCTGAGCTGGCATGTTATAGATATCGGTCCACCCAATCATAACCGGTACGTCGTGGCTGATATGTAGTAACCGACATGTGTCGACCGACATGTGTTGACCGACATGTGATATCGATCAACTTAGTAAGGATGTCGGTTTCTGCTGAATCTTCATTGTGTAGTTATCTGGAAGTTGGTAGAAGTGTCTCTTGCTCACATGAACTCTAATCACCATCATATTGATCTCAATCAACGGATTAGTGTCGCTTAATCCGACTTACAGAAAATGATATCAACAGTATCGATAGCACACAAAAGAAAAATAAATCCTAAACACTATAATCTGATTGGGGTTTGAATGAATTATTAACTAAGAAATAATATCAAACATGAATCTAGCAAATTATTATAAATGACATAAAAATAAAGAAGCTAAGGAGTCGGGGATGATGATTTTCTACCAATGCAAATACCAAGTTAAGATCATTCAGTTAAATGATTCAAACAACCTAACGTCTAGAGATAGTCCTTAATAACTCTTCGTAACAAGAGGATAAGATAGACGATAAATCAAACAAATCACATAACACATAAACAATACGTTTCCGAACAAGTCTATTTCATGCGAGTCTAGATCGATCAACTCCTCCCCTTTCGGTTCTATGAGTTGATTAATTATCCTAGACGAGTGTTAATCTACTAGTTCGTTGGATTTAAACACATCACACAAGAACGAATCATATTCAATTGGAAATCAATTGCAAATCGAAGTGTCACTCTTCGACATTCAATGTACGAGAATTATAAACCCTAGTTAAGAACAACTCGCATAAATTGAACGATCAACAAGCATGAATTAAATTTTAAACATCATCATTATCCCCTATCCCTAGCGAACGAATTAGTTACTCATATGAAATTCAACACTATCCATCTCAAGAACCCAAGCATTCATATTCAAGGATTAATTGAAAAGGAAAAATTACGATTAATAGATAATCAAGAGTCGAATCCAATGAACAACTTAATCTGGAATAGTTAAAGAAGAAAAGCGATCAATACAACGATCAAATCTGAGATTTAGAGTAGGAGAAAGTGAAAAAAACAATATTGGGGGTTGTTTCCACGAGTCTAAGGATCGTTTTCATATATAGTACGCGAAAACGGAGCTAAAACGAATAAAAACGAGCAAAAATAAAACGTGGGGAAATTCGTGGCTCGCGACATTTTCGCGAGTCGCGCTCACGCGAGTCACGACTTTGGACTGCACTACGCCACTTTGCGTTTCGGGCTCGTTTGGGCTCGTCCGAACTCAAAATTGAGTTTCGTTTTTTCCTATGCATTGATAATGAACCCCTCTATCCAATTATGCTCTTGAAACCAACTTTTACTGAAGAGAAAATTCTCCCCAAGCTCCCGACCTACACACCAAAAACGACAAAACACAAAAGAAAACCGAAAGAACAAACGAAAAACACCTAAAGACTCAAAATGAAGGAAAACACATAATCTATACTTATATAAAAAGTCATCCTATTTACTAAAATTAGTAGGAATAAAAGTTAACTCATAATTAATTGCACACCATATTTAGAAAGTTTTTGAATTTTTTTTAATGATAAAATGAATTCAACAAAACCCATAATTAATTGCACACCATATGTTGAATTCATTTTTAATAAGATATGCATCCAAATTTACGTGTTCTTTTCAAGTGAAAATTTGAAATTCAAAATTTATTCTCATTTTAGTTACAAGAAAATCGGGTTGCATTCAACACTTGGACCAATTTAAAAATTATTCCTTAAATGAAGGAATTTATAGATAAATGTTATCTCTACTCAATCACATGATTATTTTTAATATAAAAAGAGACAAATTACAAGTTAGTAAATCATATATTACCTAATTCAATATCTTAACATTAAGGAATAAATTCATAGTATTATGTAAGTCCGTATTTCATATTATTATATCATTATGAATATATTATAGTTATATTATGAAATCATAAAAAGATAATAAATCCATATTGTAAAAAAAAAAAAAATAGTTCATACAATTTTATAACAATTCTACTACTCTATTTAACAATATTCCTTTTTATTATATGCAAAAATAATAATTAAATATTGAATGGTGAACAAAATAAGTAAAACTATTACTTTCTTTTATATCAAGAGATAAATTTATATGCTAAAATTATGTTTTTATTAGTATAAATGTTTTAGTGAGATAATATATTAATTATTTTACAAGCTAGCCCTAACATGCTCATATTTAATATTCTGGCTAAAGAGACAACGCTGGTTAAAGGATTTGGAAAAAAGCTTATAACCCAATTATTTTTTAGACTTAATGTTGATTAAAATAGGTAGAAAATTTATAAACCCTATTACTTTTTTAACTTAAATGGACAAGACTGTGAGAATATTCATTTAATATCTCTGTCAAATGTGGACAAAAGTTTATAACCCTATTGTTTTTTAGACTTAACATTGATAAAATATGTAGAAATCCCCCCTATATATTAATACAGAACGCGCTGAGCCTACGTGGCTGCTTCTGGTGCTTCGAAATCCTATTTGGCAAAATTACATGCTTCGTTATTAGGATTGGGTAAATTTTAATTTAATTCCAAACCAAAAATAATTAGGTTCGGATTACCATAAATATGTTGATTATTTATGGTTATGTTACATGTATTAATTGTATTTTAATATCATTCCTTATTATAACTATTGAATTGTATTATATTTTAAAAGTTAATAACTTTTATATTTTTTATCAGTTTTACATATGTAATATATCAAATTAATCTTCTTTTAATGAGCTTCGATTTAACATCCATATTGTATGTATAAAAAAATAATTTATATTTATCTTTATAACAATAATAAAATTATTTTTAATATTAATTTTTTTTTGCCAAAACGATAGAAATATTATAAATCAAAACGCACAACTGTGCAAAAAGCAGCCCAAGGCTGAATATTACAACCCGGAACTAGAAACTGAGAGAACGGATCGAAAGTCCGCCTAGAACCTCGCTAGCCACGCCAGAATAGAAAAAACAACCACACAACTAACAGACACAAACA